GATGGCGGGGAACGGAAATAAGCCGGAAACAGCGGGGCCTACACGAAGCAACAGAACACATTTAATTTACTCTTGCATCACACAATCTACACATTACTCATGCCACAAACTAGCAAAATCGTACGCATTTTTTATGTTAAATAAGCGAAGAATTTTTAATTTAAGTCATTTCATGCCATGGCCCTTAAATTCAGACAGATGGGGTGTGAACTCAGGATAATTATTCAGGTTTCTCATTTGTGCATAATAAAAAGTAATTACTATCATTATTACTGTATCGGTGTACTCATTCAACGTATTTAACACCTCATTAACTCTAATGAAATTTGCCTACTTTGAAATTTTCTGTATCACATTCCTGGGAGGACAATTTTCACTGCCTGAAAACGTTGATGCATGGATAGACAACTAAGGGCTGTCCAGCATGCATCCCAGGTGCTGTTTGAGCGCCGGAGATTGTCACTGGCACTTATTTCTAAAGCAGCGAAACCAAGCACGAACGAATTATGCTATACAGATTATGAAATATTCTGACTTCGGTGTATAAACACTTAGGACTTCCAAGTTTTTGTACTTGTCCATCGTCCGGTGGTTTAAGTAACGCAACATCCTGTGACTGAGCTAATTAGCTCATTCTAACGGGACCAAAGCGGGTGAGTCTCACCCACTCACCTGAGGACAGAAACAGATCCAGCTTCCGAAACGATGTGTTCTTTACAACACAGAAAATGCAAATGGTCCAAAAACCAAGTAATCCCAGAATTTATATATAAATTTCAGGCCTCATGTGATATAGGTCAATGAGTCAGCCTCTGTAAATGCGTACATTTTGTTAGTTCTTTATCCTTCAATTTTCCGTTTGCAAGTTAAAATGCGTACATTTTGTTAGTTCTTTATCCTTCAATTTTCCGTTTTCAAGTTAAAACATATCATTCAGTACGGCCAAGGAAAGGTCTCGTATTTGGCAATTTCCTTCAACCCGAATCTGGCTACCAGACACCGCAAGAATAACTATTTTTATCACTAAACCCCTGCTCGCACGAATGGTACGTGAGAACTTTCCTACCAAAGAAAGCTTCTTGCTTGCAGTTGCGAGAAACCCGAAGCTAACAAATGGCGACCAAGCCAACCGACGCCGTAACCCTGCAAGGAAGCCTCTGCTGACACGCCAGTATGCACATGTTAACACATATCCAGGTCTCATCACCACCACAGCTAACGAGGAGGACAATATTCGGTCACTATCTCCATACGTACTTCTAACTTGAGATGCACCTTTACTTAACCATGTCTCCCTTTTTAATATTGTAGGCTGGGGAAAAGAACATTATGGATAATGTTTAACACGATACTACTGTTATAGTATCAAAAGAAGTTAGGATGTGTATGCATAGCGAAACAATGACTACAATTCGGATCAGCTTTTTACCTATAAACTCTAAAAATTAAGAGTTACAGAAACAGTTATGATAAATCGTCACTGCTCTATACAGTTCGTGTTCCAATAAATGTTTGCAAATTACGATGAAGTTGGGGCACGCGGCAGCTCAGCTGCCTGAGGCAATATACTACAAGTAGGATGGTCGCGGGTTCGAGTCCAGATGAGAACTTTGAATTTCTTTCAATAGACTTCATCCTTCCAGCCGCAATATAGCCCTGGGGTAAACTCAGCCTCTAACAGAAATGAGTACCAAGAATCTTCCTGGGGGCCAAGTGCGGCCGGCGCGTAAAGCTGACCTTACCACCATCTATGNTTTAATGAAAATCGGTTTCGCTCCACCCGTGTTATACCCGCAGGGCGGAAAACACAACGAACTTAAAAGTTGATTATCTAATAATAAAGGATACATTACACGATGCACTACATGCGTTCTGTTTGCATTTCAAATAACGGGAGCAAATCTGTGGTCGATAGTTACGCAGCAAAACTGACTGTACATTTTATGCACAATATACCTTTTCCTTACGTCTCTCGGCTTTCGAGATAATTAAGTGGGAATGGGTACGAAGAACTGTTACGCTACGCGTACACATCCAAACTTGTTCTTTCTCCCTTCTATCGAGTGTTACTTCGTGTTCAAAACCTAAACAACACACAAGTATCACGTAGTGCTGAAACTGACACTTTACACGCATTTCGTAACTCTCTCTTCAGCGCCTCAAAAAAGTGCGTTGTTCTATCTCTCAAACAGGAAGGGGAATGGGGGGGGGGCATCTCCGCCATCCAACCGGGTGGTTTGCGAGAATAAAATGAAATACAAGAAAGAATAACACAAAAATATATATTTTTTAAATATTGTAACACACTGCGCCATTGCTCAAGTGATTAATCGCTGGCTTTCCACCGTGGCGTCCCGGGTTCGATCCCGGATATCGTCAAGTGGGATCTGTGGTGGACGAAGTGGTGCTGGGGCAAGTATTCTCAGAGTACTTCGGTTCCACCTGCCAATTTTCATTCCACCAAATTCTCCATCATAATCACCCGGGGCATGCACCAAAGAAGACCAATTCAGTGGCCGCCGTGCTGAGGGGTCGCAGTTGGACTCCACCCGCACTAAGCGAAGCAAAAAAAATATTGCAACATCTACAAACATTAAATTGTCTTTGTTGCAGTCAGTGTCTATGGTAAAGTTACTGGGCAGAACAAAATGTAGTACAAAATCTGTACACTCAACTTCCCAATTTGAAGGCGGATGCTGCATGGACAAATGGGTCAACAGGTTTCCATACAATTAGACAATTCTGAAAACGACTGCCTACCTCTGAAACTTCGAGAATCTGCCACACTGCTCATATTTATACTCAGCACTGTTACAGCCTAAACCTCACATATACACTAATTTGTCTGTATACAGAGCAATGATTCTCTTTGTTATTCTGTTACATAAATTTACTTTTGATGCAACCATTCATAGGTGACTCATATGTAAGTCATTAGGGACCTTCCATTATATGGGTTATATAATTTCATTTATATATAAGAAATCTGTGATTACGACCACAGTGGTCTCTAAGTCTCAAACTGCCTGATATTAATGGATATTTGCCACAAGAAAGAGAGACTGAAAAGCCGAATGTCTTATATTAGAATTTAGAATAACTTCTCATGCATTTGTACACATATTAGGATATTCACAGCACATACATTATATGCATTTAAATTTCTATGCTATGCTTATGGCTATTTGTATGTTAAATATAATGAGCAGGTGACAGATTTCTTCTCTCACTCAAAAATGATCACATGAATATTCCTTTAGTGTGAAACAAATTTTTAAACCTTCAAATAAGTAATAAAAATATTAAGAATAGTGTCTTCTGGAATGTGACACCATATAGTCTGGTACATTGGTACCAATATTTCATATGAACCTGCTACATTTTTCTCCAGGGTAGAAGGTTCAAAAGAGCGGCAGTAGGTTCATTTCGAAAGTTTCTTCCTGCTTGCCAAACTACAAGGGATCACATCACAAAGTCTCTCATATACAGAGCATACTTAAGACAAATAACAGTAAAAAGAACTTACACGGAGACAAACTCATGCAACACAAACAAACTGTTTTATTATTACAAATCACCAAAGGAAAAGAGGTTAAAATGCATCACTCCTGCATACACCTACCTTTCTCGAAGTTTCTTCGTACACGCAAGATAAAAATGGAAGTTGATCATTTAAATTTGACATGTTCAGCTACAGGCTAAAAGTTAATGCTGCAATAATATTTCCTATCAATGTGGGTGGGAAGGGAAGCCAGGATAGCTCAGTCGATACAGTGACCGATTTGGGGATGGATGACCACGGAACAGGGGTTTGTTTCCTGGTAGGGACAAGAGATATCTGCTCTCAACAAAATCCAGACTGACTTGGGGCCACTCAAACTCCTACCTATGGGAGTGGAGGACTCTTTCCATGGGGTTAAAGTGGCAAGAGACTGAAGCTCACCACTAACCTCCATCAAATACAAACATTACGACTAGTGGAGCTATATCTCCACTCCCTCAATGTTTTCAAGGTGTGGAACTTTACTGATTAAGCACAGGGAAAACTTTAACCCAACTGACTGCACAGCTTTGCTAATGTACTGTACCACAACAAAAGTTTCATTAAGTGGATTGCTGAACTGTCTTCAAGAATTCACATAAATTAAGACACTTTTACTTCTCCTGTGAAAGGCATGACAATGGACAATGTAGGAACAAATGATACCAACATGAGAGGCAAGAACTCTGTGTGTACTGCTGCAGTCTGGATGCTATGTCATGATATCCTATGAGTCAGTAACTTTACATTTTGAAACATTAATATTTCATATAAAATTGACAGACTTATGCTGTGTTAGGTAAAATAGTACATACTTAAATCTGCAAAGTTATATTACAAAACAATACTTATTTTCATTAAAAAGGAACATATTTATATTCAACTACAAAAGCAAGTGCTAATGACTTAGAAGTAAAATTTGAAGAAAT